AAATGCACACACATACAGTATAATATATTATATATATATATATATATATATTTATTTAGATTCAACAAAAAAAAAAAAAAGTGATTTGGCATTGAAAGCGGAAGTGATGTAATTTTTTTTTCCAGTTTTACATCCGCTGTGTGATGAGACACCTAGCTAACAAGTGGGAAGCCTCACTTTCATCACTCACTGCATGCACTGCTATTAATACGAAGTCACGTCAGGGCTTACAGGGTTTCAAAGAGGGCACATTGTTGGTTTCCACTTAGCTGGTGCTTCTGTGACTGAACTTGCCAGCTTATTTATCTGGTACAGTATCAAAGCTTACGACAGCATATGCTTATCAGACGACGTTTTCCTAGAAAAACTGTATAAGCGCAGTCGATATAGTCAACTGACAGAAAGACGAAGACATTGTGTAGAATTGTGACCTGGAATAAGAAAACAACTGCTGCAAAAGTGACTGCAGAACTCAATCTCGGTCTTCACGGGACTGAGCAAAAGAATGTTACATCACTTCCGCTTTCAACGCGAAACATTTTGTTATCACTTTTACACCTGCAAATTATGTAGTTTCCATTTTTTTTTGTTATTTTTTTTTTTTAATACTTAACACACTTTTTTAGTGAGAGTTAAAGTGATATTAAAAGATTTTTTTTCCTTTTTCTTTTTAATAACAAACATGCCATACTTACCTGCTCAGTGCAATGGTTTTGCACAAAGTAACCCCGATCTTCCTCTTTTGGGTCCCCCGCCAATGCTCCAGACCCCTTCCTCCTGTCGTGTGCCTCCAGAACATACAGCTTTCTATGGGGGCACCCAAGCAGGCTTACTCCCAAGCCACAGCTCTGTGTGTCCATTCAGAACAACACGGCTCAGCCCTACCCCTTATCTTTCCTCATAGGCTCCTGCTGCTGTCTCGGCCAATGAGGAGGGAGAATCCCTGGAGAGCCAAGGCTCTTGTGCACATCACTTGATCGCGATGGGGCTCAGGTAAGTATTTGGGGCTGCTGCACACAGGTTTTTACCTTCATGCAAAGAATGCATGAAGGTAAAAAACCTGGAGCCTTTACAACAACTTTAAATACTTTTGCTATCTAGCTAGTATGTGCAGTTCTATCACTCCAGTTTAACCCCTTCGTGCCTAAGGGTAAAACAAATCATGCCTAAGCACAATTTTGCAACATTGACATGCGTTAGCAAAACCGTACATATCACAACTACTTTTTGCATCCAGGTGGATTATACCTTGTTTTTTTTCAGGACAAACTGGGATTTCATTTGGTGGTAAATGGTAATGGACATCTCCTGATTTTTTTTATTTGTTTTTTTAATTACCAAAAGGAAAACTGGCCCAAAAAAAAAAAAAAATCCCTTTTTTTAAATTTAGCTGTATATTTCTTGGTACTACCATAACCTACCACCAAAGAACAACACAAAATAATTTCTCCTGCCCGACTATCGTTGTTGTTTGTACCTGTAGTACAGACCAGAAACCATAGTGCACAATTTACTTTTCTTATTCTGCCACTGACACCAATTTAAAAAAGTAAAAAAACACCTTCTGGACACTCCTCTCAAGGGACTGACACGGGCATAATAAATATTCAGGCGGGTCATTTGACTCTCCCAGTCCAAAAATTCTGGAAAGCTTCTTCCAGAAGCAGCAGGAAGCAGTCAAACTCTCAGCCTGTGAAACTGAACAGACCAAAGCAAATAATCACTGCTCCCTTGACTAAGTAGCCAAAAATGAAATTTGCTTAGCATCCTATGCTACGCAGGTGATTACCGGTATATAAAGTATATTGAGAGTGCCATACAGTGAGGGTGTCATCTCTACTAAAGCTCTTCATTCACTAACTGCTAGTCCTTTACAAATTTCTCCATATTTAATAAAATACAGTTGGGTGTACTGGAATACTGTTCTAACAGGCCAGATTCCTATCTTTCTAGATTAACAACCATCCCTCTAGATGAAATTCTACTACTTTAGATAGCTGCTCACAATCCAGTCCAGAAATGTATATGTGACCCTGAAAAAGTTCTCATTAAGCATGCAAATAATTGGCAGAGAAAATGTGACTTCTCATGTACATTTGTCCTCACCAGGGGTGGACCTAGGCAGCTGCAGGGGGTGCGCGCCGCACCGGGTGACACCGGACCTGCTCCACCAGGGGCGGACTGACCCAGGGCCACTACAGGGCCCCATGAGAGGCTCAGTCCATCCCTGTATGTGCTACTGCTGAAATAAGCAAGCATTGAGGGGACGGATAGTAAAGCAGGCACTTCGGACACCTCTCCTCGAGTTTTAGCAGAGGGGCGGGTCCACATCCCTGCCATGGGTGCTGAAGCCGGAGAGCTGGAGCGGTGGGCAGAGTATGCAGCAGGTCAGTGTGTAATCCCCAGACCCTGGTGACAGCACTGCAGCTTCATGTAGTAGGAGAGAGAACGAGAGAGAGAGAGAGAAACGAGAGAGAGAGAGAGAAACGAGAGAGAGAGAGAGAACGAGAGAGAGAGAGAGAGAGAGAACGAGAGAGAACGAGAGAGAGAACGAGAGAGAGAGAGAGAGAGAGAGAACGAGAGAGAGAGAGAGAGAGAGAGAGAGAGAGAGAGAACGAGAGAGAGAGAGAGAGAGAGAGAGAGAGAGAGAGAACGAGAGAGAGAGAGAGAGAGAGACGAGAGAGAGAGAGAACGAGAGAGAGAGAGAGAGAGAGAGAACGAGAGAGAGAGAGAGAGAACGAGAGAGAGAGAGAACGAGAGAGAGAGAGAGAACGAGAGAGACGAGAGAGAGAGAGAGAGAGAGAGAGAGAGAGAGAACGAGAGAGAGAGAGAGAACGAGAGAGAGAGAGAGAGAGAGAGAGAGCACGAGCGAGAGAGAGAGAGAAAGCGAGAACAAATGTTCTGGCACCGGGTGACACCAACCCTAGGGACGCCCCTGGTCCTCACACCCTTTTAATACATATCTGTCCAACTTGTATACAGTAATATGCATGCGCTGACCATCTTAGAACAATACAACAGTATAAAAATGAAAGTTTTTACATAAATATGTGAGCAACATCTTATAAATATGTATACATTTTCTGAATACTGTTCCCCTTTACTTCTGTCTATCCAGAGACCGCAGCTACTTATTTGCCTTTGTAGGGTGGCCATAGAATGTTCGAAAATCCCTACCGTGGAGCCATTATGTTCCCTGGGAGAACACAGTGATTATTGTTAATGGCTATTGCAGCCACTAGCAATAATCTCATGTAAAATCCAGCAGGCTGACTATACCCAAGTTAATCAAGTGATCAGCTTGGGTACATTCAACCTGCCCATACATGGTTTGAATGCTGAACCGGCTGAGATTTGAACCGTCTATGGCCTGCGTTAGTAGTTGCCTGCAATAATTAGTGTAGGATGTATATCTATTATTAATGCTGGTAATAAGAGTTTGGGGCAAAGCAAAGAGAACCTGTACTGGGAAAACTATGCAGGCTGCCATTACGGACCATACTTTTTAAAAATGAAAGGTTCTCGAGTATCATATTGATCTAACACAGGGTTGCTGAACCTTTTGAAAAGCAAGGGCTATTTAAGTGATCTGGCAACCAGTTGCGGGCCACAATGAAATAAAATGGTTAAGAATTAAATTTTTTTTTCTATTGCGAACATAATGAACATTTTCCCCTTGCTCCCACTGAATATCAGCGAGAGGGAGAGGAAGAGAAGCCTTCTTTCAGCAGTTGCAGGAGGAAAATGCAGAGGATCAGTAACTCTATGGGCCGCCCCCACCATTTCTCCTGTTCAAGTGTACAACAGGATGTGAAAAGGAGGCCGTACAGGCCCCTTGGAGCATGGTTGCCATTGCGACCTATGACGCTACATCAGAAATTGTGAGTATGTGGTAGAAACATGTCCCAACTATGAGGTTTTACTGCCCCCCAAACCACAAATGTAATCAAGCCCTTACTGTTCTGAGCCACCGATAAGCCTGCTTTCACACTAATGCACTGCGGTTTACCCGCACCGTGGGTGCAGTGCACCTGCGGCTTTCCTGCAGGATAGCCACGCTTTGCCGTAGACTTCCGTTATATCTTGCAGGTGTGGAGCACTTTCTGAAAAAAAAAAAGTCACTGACCCATAACAAAGTGTTCTGACTTGACTTGCAGCATATCATGCTTGTTTCAGGTTAGTGGCTTTCTAATGTAATAAAGATATAGGCAGCCAGACACTGAGCAAATTTCTCCTGATGGACTGGCCGAAATTCACTTCATGGGTGGCCCTGCCAACACTTTCCCACCAGATATGCTTTGAAAAATTAAAAAGTAGCCTTGTGGAAAACTGTCAGCTGGCAGCAGCTACATCCTATCAGATGCAGCCACTTTTCAGAAAACAAATAGCCAACACCACAGATTTGTAGATGCAGATCCACAACGTATACCTGCTGGATGGAAGAAAAATATCAGTTTAATCCCAATGCAGGAGGTGGTCAGCAGAGGTAGCCCACTTATTTCTCTCAGTGCAGGCTTTCTGAAACTAATTAGAAGGTGAGGTACAAACCTTATCTCTGGGATATAAGCCATCTCCAAGAACAATCACATAGTCACCAGGACAATTTTGGGTGAATCTCCCCAGCAGTGACAGCAATTAAAACTTGAAAGAAGTTCAACACTATCTCTATCCAAAACTGGCAAGTATACCCAGATTAATAACTTAACGTAAAAAAAAGATATAGTGTTTGCGATTATTCATGGAGTAAGGGAGCCTTGGTGTGAACCAAACAATAAGAGCACAAAACATGCAGACATGAGATAAACAAATACAGAAAAGCAGGATCCATAGTCTCTACCCACAAGAAGCCGTGCTGACATCAGACAGAAGGCCACAGGACAGATGGGCCAAGCAGGAGACAAGACAGCAGCAGCAGTAGATCCATTAAAGAGAGGTATTTGACATCACAAGGCATATAGGAAGTAAGGGGCAGCAAGAGAGAAGCAGGTTTCAGTTCCTACTTGTCAGTACTCCGGTTTGTAGGCATAGAAGACATTGGGAGATCCTGTGGGTTAGACAGCAAAATAAGTATAAACATGTAATGCCAAATGCATTAGCAATAATGTAGGTTACAGGGTAGCATGAGCAATACTCACCATAATGCGCGAGGAACTCAGGGCTTCAGGTATCAGACTGTCCCTGTGGTTAAGGTGAGCAAATGGCTTAGCAGCCCCCCAAGATTCCAGATAACGTGTCATGCGAACAGATGCCCTTGTCTTGGTGACCTCAGCAGACTTGCTTGGCAATATGTCATCTTCCTCACTGTCATCACTAGCCTGAAACAAGAGACAGCTGGGTTTAGCATCTTGCTATTGTGAGTCTATTCTTGGCCAGCATGGATATTTTGAAACCGTTTCCATTTGCTTATAGTTGCTAAATCATTTGCAGGTTACTTTTGTAGTTGAAGTTAAAATTTATGATCAACTAATAATAGACAAGCAATGATTTTTAATAGCTTAATCAGCATACTATGCAGTGTAAAACACGGGCAAGTTTTCTGTTCTTAAAGTCCATCGTGTGTCAATTGGATAAATATGTGGCCTGGGATAGCTGCTCCCCCACCCCTTTTGCTGACCACAATACACATATACAGTATATGTTGTGGTTTGCAAGTGGTTTACCCCGGTATTTCTTTTTTCACCCAGTGACCCTTTCTCATGAAAGCAGTCCAAGCAGTTAATTAGTCGCTGGACCGCTTTCAGAAGTGGCAGGAGGGAGTTGCCCCCCCCTCCAGTATTTCTTGGGCTTATCGCTTTTAACAGTGAGCCTGGGATACGATCAACTGTGGGTATAGTATTATAAGCTTTTTACCTTTTTTTTTGGTTTAACTGGATGGACGTTTTGTCTTTTTTCAGCCAGACTAACAATGTAATTATGTTCACACAGCTGGCCATAGAGGTGATCAGAGACCAGAACATCTCTGATCACCTCTATGAACACTGAGAATCAGAGTGAAGTCCTGATGTCACTTTTGGTCTAGAGTGGAACTTTTTTTCTTCTTAAGCAAAAGGTCAAAAATCAAAGTAGGGGAGAGATTTGGGGTCCCATAGACCCCAGATCTCTCCTTGAGGACCTGTCATCCCTTATTTCTATTACAAGGGATGTTTACATTGTGATAAAAAAAAAAAAAATTAGCACCCCCATCCCTCCATGCTCATGCACAGAAGCGAACACATACGCAAGTCGAGCTTGCATATGTAAACGGTGTTCGCAACCGTGTATCGCCACAAACGTTAGAGCAAGAGTAATAATTCTAGTGCTAGCCTCCTCTGTAACTGCAAACATATAACCTGTAAACATTTTTTAAAGCGTCACCTATGAGATTTAAGTATCTCAGTTTGTCGCCATTCCACAAGAGTACACATTTTTAGAGCGTGATAGGTTAGATATCTATTTACTTGGCTTAACATCATCTTTCATATTTTACAAAAGAATTGAGTTATATACTGTTTTTTTTTGTTATTCATTAAAGTGGATTTTTTCAAAAACATTGCGTTTGTTGCAATTTTTTATGTCACGTGGTATTTGCACAGCAGTTTTTTCAATCTTTTTATATTTTCTAGGGTCTCTACTAAAAATATACACACACAAAAAAAAAATTAAAAAGGAACACTTTGAAAACACATTAGATCTCAATGGGGAAACATATCATGCTGGATATCTATACTGATGTGGACTGGGTAATGTGTTAGGAATGTAAGGATGCCCCATCGTTTGATGAAAATGAAAATTATCAACCTACAGAGGATGGAATTCAAAAGACACCCCGAAAATCAAAGTGAAAAAATTATGCAGCAGGCTAGTCCATTTTGCTGAAATTTTATTTTAGCAACTCAAAATGCTACTCAGTAGTTCGTATGGCCCCCACATGCTTGTATGCATGCCTGACAATGTTGGGACAGGCTCCTAATGAGACGAAGGATGGTGCCCTGAGGTATTTCCTCCCAGATCTGGACCAGGGCACCACTGAGCTCCTGGACAGTCTGAGGTGCAACCTAGCGATGTTGGGTGGACCGAAACAGGATATCCCAGAGGTGTTCTATTGGATTTAGGTAAGGTGAGCGTGGGGGCCATTGAATGGTATCAATTCCTTCATCCTCCAGGAACTGCCTGCATACACCGGTCACATGAGGCCGGGCATTGTCATGCACCAGAAGGAACCCAGGACTCACTCCACCAGTATAGGGTCCGACACTTGGTCCAAGGATTTCATCCCGATACCTACTGGCAGTCAGGGTGCCATTGTCTAGCCTGTAGAGGTCTGTGCGTCCTTCCACGGATATGCCTCCCCAGATCATCACTGACCCACCACCAAAGCGATGCTGAACGATGTTACAGGAAGAGTAATGTTCTCCACATCTTCGTCAGTCCCTTTCACATCTGTCATATGTGCTCAGGGTGAACCTGCTCTCATCTGAAAAGCACAGGGCGCCAGAGGCAGACCTGACAATTCTGGTGTAAAATGGCAAATGCCAATCGAGCTCTATGGAGCTGGGAAGTGAACACAGGGCCCAATAGAGGATGTCAGGCCCTTAGGCCACCCTCATGAAGACTGTTTCTGATTGTTTCGTCAGAGCCATTCACAAAAGTGGCCTGCTGGAGGTCATTTTGTAGGGCACTGGCAGTGCTCATTCTGTTCTTCCTTGCACAAAGGAGCAGATACTGTTCCTGCTGATGGGCTTGGACTTTCTATAGCCCTTTCTAGCTCTCCTAGAGTAACTGCCCGTCTCCTGGAATCTCCTCCATGCTCTTGAGACTGTGCTGGGAGACACAGCAAACCTTTTGGCAATGGCAGGTATTGATGTGCCATCCTGGAGTAGTTGGATTGTCGGTGAAAATTCTGTAGGGTCCTGATATCGCCTCATACTACCAGTCGTAACACTGACTCTAGCCAAATGAAAACTAGTGAAAAACAGTCAGAAAAGATGAGTAGGGAAAAAATGAGTCAGTAAACCATTCCTGTTTTGGGGATCATCTCATTGTTGCCCATCTAGTGCACCTGTTAATTTCATTAACGCCAAAGCAAATGAAACTGATTAACAACCCCCTCTGCTATGTAACTGACCAGATCAATATCCCAGGAGTTTAATGGACTTGATGCTATACTCTGATTAAAAAGTGTTCCTGTAATTTGTTTTTGAGCAGTGTATATTATATAAAATGTTGGTGGGGTCTAAGTAATTTTCTAGCAAAAAATACTGATTTCTACTTGTAAACAAAAAATGCCAGAAAGGGCTTGGTCTTCAAGTAGTTAAGTGTTTTACCAGCATAAAGATTTGTCATTTTGGCCATTATTGGGATACACACCCCACTGCTAGTCAGGATGACCAGTCTGCTACTTTAGCATTACTGCTTCCTGGACAATGTGGATCTTGCTGATAAATTGGACAGGCCAAAAAGGTGCACATGTGTCATAGGAAGCTGTATTATAGAACCAGGAAGCTGCATTGTTCAGACAGGAAACATAGTATACAGTAACAAACCCCATTTAGTTTACAGATTTATGTCAACACTCAAAATAAAGTATCTTACTCTAAAAACCTCAATTTTGGATAGAGATCCAGTTTTATCGCTGCCCGTGTCCCCACTGGGTAAGTCCACCCTTATTTCCTGCACTGGTAGCCACTGTTGCCAGTGAGTGATTTGAAATCAAAAATATTACAGTTGTGACTGGAACAGGAAAAAAAAAGGGAAAATCTTGCAATGGAGGTACATGCGCCTTTAATAATTTCCTTCTCCAGTCAAAACAAAGGTTTTGATTGACAAACATTTTAATTCCAGAGTAACACAGAGCCTCATTCACATTTATTCCAAAAGATGACAATGTGAAGACACGAGACCGATATAAAGTTTTAGATATACAAGAAGTCTTACCCTAGGGTCAATAACCAGATATGTTTTTATGTTATTTTCTTTAAGGTAGGGGTCCCTCTGCACATGAGTTGCATCTCCTACTTCATATTCACCTCCAAGATGGGAGAGAGTATCTTCTGTTATATGAACTCTCCTATAGAAGAGCAGACAAGTGTAAGATAGCATGCTTTTATTAAATATAAGCCTAAGTAATTGTAAAGGCTTGTTTTTTCCTAAAATACTAAACATGTTATACTTGCCTACTCTATGCACTGTTATTGCAGAGAACTGTCCTTTCCCTCCTCTTCTGCGATCCCCCTGCCAGTGTTTTAGGCTCCTCTTACCTTCCGAGTGCCCCCATAGAAAGCTACTTGCTATGGGATCACTCATGCTGGTTCAGTCCTGAGCTGAGCTGCATGGTCTATAGAAACACACAGCACGGTTTGGCCCAACCCCCAGCTCCCTCCTCACAGGATTTGATTGACAGCAGCAGGAGCCAATAGCTCCTGCTGTTGCCTCTGAGCCTTGTGAAGAGAGAAAGCAGTGCTCCTGCTCTCAGGTATAGCACTAGATTAAGACTGAGCTTAGCAAGTATTTAGGGAGGGGCTGAGGGAGATGATCATGGAGATTTTTTTTCATCTTAATGTGATTATAAAGTTTTTTTCCCTTAAAATAATAAACATGGTATACTTACCTATTCTGTATTGCACATAGTAGCCCTGAACCTCCTTTTTTGGGGTCCTTCTGCTGGCACTCCAGGCTTCTCATCTTCTGTGTCTGCCCTCATAGCAAACACTTGCTTTGGGGGCAGTTGTTTGGGCTTGACCCTGAGTTGGAGTGTGTGCGCCTACTGACACACACAGCACAGCTCAGACTCACCTGCCACTCACAGGATTCAACTGACAGCAGCAGAAGCCAAAGGCTTCCACTCCTGCCTCCATGTCCTCTGAGAACAGAGCAGCATTGCTGCTTTGGGGCACAGCACTGAAATCGAGATTGGGCTGGCTTACTTAGGTAAGTATTACCTCGGGGGTGGACCGGGGGGGGGGGGGGGGGAGGAGGAGTTGAAGGATTTACCATTTCGCTTCAGGGTTGTTGTTTTTTTTCAATTTTCTTTTTACCTTAATGCAGAGAATGCTTTAAGGTACAAAACCTTATGCCTTTACAATTCCTTTAAAGTATACAGAACTAAAAAAAAGTGCTTCCACTAACAAACCCCCTAACACCATTAATTGCATTATAAAGGGAATGAGGATTTTGACATTTTTGTAAGTTTTTTTGATAGTAATAAAAAGGCACTGCATGAAATGAGGGTCTTGCATTGATTTCCCAGTCTTACCCTGGAACACCTCCTGCTTCCATATGATTGGCCAAAGTTACATCATGTGACCAGACATCATATTGCCATTTTTGGAGCCCGATTACTCCACACAATACATTTCCTGAATGTACTCCAACACGCATGTTAATATCCACACCTGTAGCCCTGCGCAGCTTCCTGAAGAAAGGTTACAGCAAATATTCAAATCACTGGATCCAAATACAAATCAACATCGACACAAAGGTTTTACAAATCAGCCATATTAGCACACATTTTGGATATTTGGTGTAACAATGTAAGAAATCAGCTTTTGTATGGCTGGCCACACTAATCTGATGAAAGCTGACTTCTTGTAACTCTCATGCACTTTTTATGAACTTGCTAAAGAAGCCTATTGGTGTTCAGTTATTTACTACTGTCTTTCACCATTCAGAAGGCCAGTGCAACACAAAACAGAATTTCGGTTACAGGCAGAGTCACCTGCTGGCTTCTTACATCTTTTTAGACTAACTGCAACTAGAAGATATCTGTACTTGCCCACCTTGGTGTATTGGATGTTCTAAATTGCCTTATGAATCCCTGCTTCTTACTGCATTCATTACACAAATCAATGTAAATTCCCAATGGGACAGTGAGATCCCCTTTATTAGAGCAGCAGTAGGATTGCAAGCCAGGAAGCTCAAGCTCAGGAGATCTCACCCAACATATATGGGAAGCAGCAGTTGTCAGCAGTAGAAGTTCCTCCATCCATGTCGTTTGGAGCCATTGTTTATTTCTCTTGTTCAGACTGTGGGGCTGACCAAGAGAAATTCTAATGAGTATGGGACAGTGAGATCCCCTTTATTAGAGCAGCAGGTGTGCAAACCTAGAAGCTCAAGCTCAGGAGATCTTACCCACCAAACTTGGAAAGCCGCTGTGCCCAGCTGTGGAGGTTCCTCCATCCACGCTGTTTGACATGGTTGGGGCACGCTGTTGATTCCTCTGGTTCAGACTGGGGGGTGAACCGAAAAAAATTCTAATGTGTATGGCTAGCCTTAGAGTGAACAAGGCAGTGGAGGGAGCACAGGGAGGATAAAATTAATTTGTGTGGATGAAAATGGGTGCAGTGAATCTGTTACTTTGAATCTGCAAAATACAGGATCACATTTAAACACTCAAAAAAAAAAAAAAAAAAAAACCCACCACACACATTTTCTAACCTGGTTACTACCAAGAATTATATCAATTTGAGTAAAAATATAATAAAAATCTCACAGGTCATGTAAAGCTTGTAGCACCGCTCGAAGCTGGTGAATGAAAGTTTCCCCTGCCAGTGTTAGGATGTGGGAGCAGGCATCTATCCACTGATCCAGAAGTGTAAGGTGTGTAGAAGTGAGATGCCGCTCAAACGGACACAGTGCTCTAGGAATGTTTGGGTATGTGGCCTCAGCCAGCACTGCTCTATCCACACCCACTGATGCGTTTCACCCCACCCATCGGGGCTTGTTCACAGAGATGGGGGAAGTGAATCTCTGTCCGGTTTACTTCCCCCACCCCTGTGACCAAGCCCCCGTTAGGGGGACTTAGAAATCTCACAGGGTTTAAGCTGAATGGAATATTGATACAAACAGGCAAGCCACTACTGTCTAGATCAGTATTTTAGAAATTAAATAATTTTGTGAAGTGATGTGTCTATATCCATAGCATTGCGTAAGTTTCAGCATTTTTACTTCACTAGCTACTTGCTGGCACTGTTGAGAAGGAAATATCACTGCCTACACAGATTTACCACTCGACTGTTAAATGAACACCAATGATGATTAAAAAGGACACACACAAGTCTAGAAAGGTATCGTGAATTCTCTCACCGGATTGCCTGGCACATGTCTAAACCCATCTGCACACAGTTCTTGGCATGGTCTGGCAAGCATTCTGGCAGCCCTGACACACAATAATAGCAATCGCCCAGGATCTTGATGCGCATGCAGTTATTTTCCTATAGAGAAGAAAATAAATCTTAGATCTCATGACCTTTCCATAGGTACCATCAAACTAAAAAATTTTGACCTTAATCTACTTTCTCACCTTCGCTATCTGGTCAAACTTTCCAAAAAGCTCATTCAGCATGAGGACCAACTCTTTTGGGGAGCATTCGCTTGACAGGAGCGTGAAACCAACAATGTCTGCATACAGGATACTGCAATATTCAACACAAAGGTTGTGTCACATGCTATGCACAGAATATGGTATAAACAAGTCAGACAGGCTCAGTTCACACTGCCGTAACTTGGGATCTGACTTATGAGACCCCAAGAGGCATTTTGTGTGAAATCCCATGTTAGCCAATGAAAGCAGTCTTAATTAGCACTACTGAAGTCGCTCCAACTTTGGAAAAGGTTCTTGTACTGGTGACTTCTATCCAACTTGTGCCCATAGACTTTAATGGAAGTTGCCACCAAGTCGAATCCTTATCTATATATTTGATGTGATTTGTAGCCAGCATTACAGGAAAATTACCCAGGCAAAGTGGGAACCCTATGTAATGGTTGTGTTAGGCCCAGATATTTAGAAACAAACCCACCACTGTTTCAAAGAGATAAAAGACTAGTTCTACATTTACAATCTGACCACTTTACCTTGTGTCACAGATAATAACTAGATATGTTACGTGTGCCAAACATCTGGATTACATAGAGATTAAAAAGATTACTTTAATGGTCAAAGAAATCTCCATCCTATCCATATAGACATTGATGGAACTTGTTCTTATACATATTATTTGCCCCACAAAAACGAACCCATTACTGGATGCTTACATCTAAACATCTAATCTGATTAGTATGTAATAGCAAATATTGCTTGACAAATGGATGATACACTTTCCTAGCAGCACTACGTTTCTGTTCAGTAGTCCTACTGAAAGACATTGAAGACAGTTTTCTGGATCAGTATGGCTTATATTATGGAATGGCAGACAGGACTTTGGCCCCAGCAAACAGAAGTACAACAGAATATTTCAAGTACTGAACAGATACGAAACTTTTCCATATTTGATTGAATTAGCACATTTTTATACATAAAAGTGACTTATTAGCTTTTGCTCCTTTGAAGATAAAGATCCTGAGCTGTGTACCGGTTCTTCTCACCTTACATCTTTGTGCCGTTTGATATACAGATTATGAAAGTTATTGGTACTCTCCTGCTGCGGTCTCTTTTCTTTCAGCCGCTCTATGATCTCTTCTTTCATCTCTGTTGCGATATACTGTGGTAAGATGGAAAGTAACAACTGTTCCTGTGTTTACAAAAAAAATTTAAAAAAAAGTAAAAAAAAAGGTGTCAACAGGAAAAAAAAAAAAAAACCTGTTGCTGCCAAGAACATAGGCTTTATGTAAATACCATCTTTAAAACCACTACATTGTGAGCAGTCCTGTTTTTAAAGTAAACATAACCCCTAACTGGATGACATAGATATATATATATCTATCTATCTATCATACACACACACATATATACATACACACACGCATATATACATACATACATACATACTACACACACTCATTACAAATCTGGCAGCACATCATTGCTCTAGATCAGGTTCTTGATAGCAACTTAAATAGGTATTCCACATTTTTTTTTCAGTGCAGAACAATGTAATGCATAGAACATATGCACAACACAACAGTACACAGGTGCAGTGCAATGCACTGTACATGTGCATATGGATGCAAGCAAACTGGCACTGCAATGCACATCTTTAGTGAGTGTGTGTGTGCGCGTTGGGGTTGGCCACAGAGTCTGGTTTGAGGGCCGGTTTAAAGCTAAAGAAAAAAAAAAATTGTACCTATGAGTTGAAAAAAGAAAATCTAGTAGAATCAGATGATCTGCTGAGAATACATGTTCCTGCTTATGACTGTGTCATGGCACCACCTATGTTAGATCACTACCTCACTCATAGCAGGAATAGTCAATCGCTGCTTGGAATGCACCATAGCTCTACATTCACGATAACATGAATGAAGCACATTAAGTCTCAAGTTATGGTGAGAACAAGCCCTTCAAATAACTTGCCATTTTAACCACTATCAGTTTAAAAACCATCACCCCAGTGTTGACTATGATGTTGGGATGAATGTCAAACGTCTATCACAACCATCTCTTAGATGGCCCCCTTCTTGCCAGACATTATTGCAAATGGTCCATGATCAGCTGGACCAACAGCATGCTGGGCTCTGGTGCTGGTAAGGTACAGAGTGATGTGCCACATGAAGAATCCAGATTCCAATTATGTTGGGCAAGTAGGCAGGGGCTGGTCATCCATGATGACTACACAGGCTTTCTAGTACACCATAAACAAGAGCAGGAGAGGCATATGGATAAAGAGAACACCTCTTCACTACAGCAAAATATTTTTGAAGGACCCTCTAAAGAACAAAAATGCATCTTGTTTGGTAAGTTGACATTCCAAACTATAAACAAGACAAAGAATAAGAGACAAGATTCATTAGTGCAGTATGTATTGGCAATCAAATCAAGCACTCACAGTACCAAAACAATTGTGCAATAAAAAGTGTGATATTTCAAACCTGTACAAAAGTAATTAATAATTAACCAGTAACACCAATTCATATGACTTCATTTGTTTTCAAACAAATCCACAGAGGCATGTGCATGTGAAAGGCTCTGTGAAGGGCTATAGTACATCCATGTGATTTAATATGGACAAATGAATAACAGTATGTCAAATTGTTCCTAGCATACATCCAAATAATTTATTCAATTAAATTATTAAGAGACTTGTGCTGCATTCCAATGCACCACTGGGAACATCAAACGTCTGTCTAAGGATTAGTTATATTTTATAAAAAGATGAAGGCTTTATTTATTCTTTCATACACTCATATTCCAGAGTGGATTTAGATTGTGCATACACCCAGTGCTCTCGGCATGTATGCTGGTACAGTATAATACTCAATAACGCTTTGCGCACTTACTGAGACACCTAAACAAAGCATTTCACACACAGGTTGCAGTAGTCTACAAATGTCAATGAATAGTGACTCCATTATCCACTGTCTCAGTGATAAAAACATAACTAAACAATGTACTCAGAGGTGTTTATAGGTTTGTTCACACTAGCATGGATATGGCAGCACATATTGTAGAAATGTGCACTACCATGCATTTTGTGTTGTGGTTTTAAGGATCTAATTCAATCCAATTGAACAGCACTATATATACCAATAAGAGGAAAATGCCTCATGCAGGACTTTTACTAATTTTTGATGCATCCAAAGTAGTAGAAAAGAGTCCTAAAGAAACCAGGAAAACAGCAAAATGCATAGAAACATGACTGATGTGAACCAAGCCCAAAAACATTTACATGGGTGTACTGGTCTGTAAAGGGGTTTCCCCAGTTTTGAGTTAAAGGGTTAATTCACCAAAAAAAAAAAAAAAAAAAAAAAAAAAAAAGGAAAAAAGGTGAATACAATGCACCCTCCCTAGCAGTCCCGAGATTTGAAATTCCCACTCTTCTCTCCCTTTTTTGTAAAGAGATTCCAGGATGGAACAGAGTAATTCGGAACGGTCAGTGTCAGCACAGATAAATACTCTGATCTGTCCTGGAAACCTTGCAGAAAGATCGGGGAGAAGAGCGGGAATTTTAAATACTACATGGAGTTTAATTTTTTTTCTGAATAGGTATACTAATCCTTCAAAGGAAAAAAAAAAAATTTAGATATTCCTTCAAAAGTAGGCTACCCTTTGGAACTCTGTCAGGATATTCCTGCTCCACTGAAGATGCTTCCCTTTACAAAAAAAATTAGGAAAGCCCCCAATTTATAAACTAAAAGGAGCACATTCTCCTGTGTGGAATCCAGCACCACTGGTTAGTAGTGATGGACGATCCACAACACAAGGGTGTTTCCATAAGAGCCACCACACCTGCTGCCTCTCCTGAGAGTCCAGCTTACGTCTGGAATGAATGAAGTTGATGGCTTCATGGTAAGTGTCCTTTAATGCACTCTCCGTGACACGCTTGTGATAACCGCCCACCACATTTCCACATAGCAAAATGATGGCATCAGCTATCATCTGCAAAAAGAAAGTCAAAAGGATTTCATTATTAGACATTCAATACAAGGACTGCAGCAGATCAATGGAGAAATAAATGCAACATTCAGCAAACATTCACTGCAGGTATTTCTTCCTGGTGCATGTGTTTTAAAGTAAAGACACTGATTCACCTGCAGTGAATAGCACATATGCCCCCATTTGTACTAGATAGGAAGCGGTTTTATATAGCATTTTATCTTTTTATGAGGGGAGCGGTCATACCATGGTGCAATACTTACCAATGTTACTTACCTAATTTTTAGATTTATTCTAAACAAGGCCTTAAAAGTATAACTAAAGACAAAACTTTTTTTTTAGTTTTGGATAGAGTGGAGATGGATTAGAATACCTGTCAGATTGTATTACTGTCTGTGCCCTCCTTATTTGTCCTGTTTACCATGATCTTTAACCACCCCAATACTGGGAACCTTACCCCATTTCTGCCCAGGCCAACTTTTCAGCTTTTGGCGCTGCTGCACTTTGAATTACAACTGCGTGGTTATGCAACGCACACATTTTTAACACACAAATAGAGATTTATTTTGGTGGTATTTAATCACTACTGGGTTTTTCATTTTTGCATTATGAACGAAAAAAAGAACAAACATTTTGAAGACACAAAAAAAAAGTGTTTCTTTGTTTCGGTTATAAAATTTTGCAAATAAGTTATCTTTCTTAATAAATGTATGCCACAATGTATTCTACCCAGGGGCGGACTGACAACTCATGGGGCCCCCAGGCAATAGGGAATCATGGGGCCCCTGTGTTCTTGCCCAAACTCAAAAAAGCCTATGAAAAAAGTACCAGGGGCATCTCATGGGGCCCCCAACTGACCCCGGGCCCTCGGGCAGTGCCTGAGTTTCCAAATGGTCAGTCCGCCCCTGATTCTACCACATTTCTTTGTGAAAAAAACCCAAATCAGTGTTTATTATTTTGTTGGTAGGAAAGTTGTGGAGTCCACAAACTATGGTATATATCTGAAAATCGATCAATCCTGATGTACTGACGGCCGATCTCATTTCTTGAGGCCCAAAAACATCAGGACAGTACAAATACCCCCCAAATTACTCTGTTTGGAGAACAGACAGTGAAGCATTTAGTAAGAGGCATGGGGAGTTTATTAAAGTTGTCATTTTGAAGTTGTCGGTGGATACAGCCAGTGACAGATCGCGCCGCAGCGTGGTCCGTGAGGCGCGATCCTGGGAGGATAATAGGGATCCCGCCTGGCCGTCATATTACAATAGGCGAGGCAGGAAGGTGTTAAAGAAAACCCCAAATTTTGAATTGTCTCCAGAAAAGACAGAAGGGAAATCTTCCAATGGGGACCTGGGGATCCCCAAGGGATTCCCTCAGTTTACTGGGATTTCCTCTCACTTCCTGTTTTGAAAAAAGACAGGAAGTGAAATCTCCAAAATGGGACACAGATGGTGGAAAAAAAAAAAATCTGACATCTAAGCATCCCGTGCCCTATCCAAAATTGTAAAAAGTTCTGCCTATAGTTCCAGTTTAATATAATATTTTGCTATGATGTATTGTTATTTGTTGTAACCTATGCCTATGACTAACACCTTGGCATGCAGAACACAACACTCATGACACCTCATATTTAAGCTTTAACAAGCTCAAATTCTTAGCAACCAGTTTGTTGCTGTTTCAGTGACAACTGCAAATTTGGGATTTTTCTTTACTTTCAGTCCCAATGATAATGGTTAGCAGGGCAAACAGAGGGGGTAATTCTCCCCTGCAGGCACAGTGAGCGGAAAAAATAAAATGATATATATATACACACATACATACATAGTTTGGTGACCTTTTACGATTTTATCCCAAAAACAAAAGAAAAAAAAAAAGAAAAAATTAGGCTTTAAATGCATGTATGTTATTCTATCCTAGAGCCTTGGACAGCAAAGCTAGCTACACAACACTGGTCACAAGTGCTTGTTATAATTATAAAACAAAGCTAGAGGGTGCATACAATGATAGAACGCCAGCTATGATGTGCAATTAATGTTACATAATGCATCTTTCTGTTTAGAATTATGACAGCGAGCATTAATAATGCTGCACCTAGCAATTTTCCAGCTGATAGGAGAGGCGCTTATTTTACCATACTAATATAAATTGAAAGCGGACAAAAATGAAAGATTAATATCAAATATAAAACTTTATGGCATGTTTGATCATTTATTTTTATAAGATGCTTATAACGGCTATGGGAACCACTTTACACCACTTCTCATTCTTTCCAAATTGCTGCCTTTAGGGCTCCAGAGTGTTTAGAATGAGCACAGTGATTACGACATGTTTTCCCATACCAATCTGCTCATTGCTATTCTAAGACCTATTATACAGTGTTCACAGTTTAATGGTTAATTACCTGTATGTGCACACCTTCATTAGAACCCTACAGTTAATGTGCTTGGAAATTCCACCCCTGAAGTGGCAAACAAATGTTTTGACTACAGGAAGCTGTAGCGCCTGGAAGTTGCATGCAGTTTATACAAAGTTTCCTACCTGTAAGGCAAAATCCCCTGCAGGCTGCTTAGTGGATGATGACACATAGACACTAAGCACGATGATATGTGACACTGAGCAGGTAAGCCCAGCAACGATCGCCCCTGTCATACATAATGGGAGCATGGTGTACAGGCTAATCGTCACAAATAACGTCCAATAAACCTGCATTGAGCAACCAGAACACAGAACATTAGGCAAGAGAAGAAATTAAATACCCATATCATCGAATTCTTTTAAATACTGACACATAGAAACACAGAACAATGGCAGCTGAAAAAAAGACCAAGTATTCCATAGAGTCTGACTTTTTTTCTCTTTTTAAATGTATACTTTTTGTTAATTTTTTTGTCTAAGTCTAGATCTAGGTTTGTCCCAAGCATGTTTGAAGCCACTTACTGTTGACTGACACATCAAAACTACACAGGCCTTGTGACTAGCTGAATTTAGTCAGGGCATGGTCTGGTTTTTATCAGTTCCTAAAAGTTTTGTTTAGGTGCATTAGACAGTATAACTAGACTGCTTATGAGCTTGGGCATAAAAAGCCTTACTAAAATACTGTTAAAAGTATTTATATATAAATAACTTCCAAACGTTTTCTACACATCCAAAAAATAAAAAAAAAGTAAAAAACCACCACCAAAAAATTATTCCTGGATCAAAATCATGGGATCCGGAGTATGGCCATGAAAAACATTCCTCTATTGTGTAGTGGCAAACTATGCGACAGAAAGTATAGCCCTTTAATTAAACTAAAGCCGGCCATACATGGATCTAAAATTTGGATCCATGTATGGGCGCCCTGGTTGTACAGAAGACTCAACGAAAGGATTCCCTCATCCACATCAAATGTGTGGATGCAGAAATCAGATCTTTATTTTACTTCAACCTACTGGTTGAATGAAATACAATGATGAATGTATGGGCTGCCAAGCCTAAACTGCTTTCTAAAGTCTTCTTCTGTCTGGCACGGATGGCCACATATCGATTGAAATTTAGCCTTATCAGCAGGGACTGGCCTAATTTCAATCAGTATATGGCCAGCATAGTTCCCATCAGTAACCTGAACCATATATTCAAATAATTTCCTCATCCAGAGCTGGGAGCAGCAGCACAGAGTTCACAGTTCTGCACCTAAAGGTAACAGCAGAAACAGCAAAAAGTCTGTAAACTGATCATACTTTAATCTGTTCTGTTGCCCAATGGGGCATAAAGAAATTTCAATTCCCCCTATGGTTATTTTTGTGGCTGAAGCAATAACATATCAATACCTTAAGAAATCAACACTGTATTCATTGGTGTCAGTAATTAAAATGTAGGCATTGTCAACTCTATTCATGACTTATCCACAAGCTCCTGCTTACCTGGTCCCATGGAGTAACAACACCGCTTGTGAAAATAAACGCATAGCCCATGGCTACCAAGCATCCCCAGATGATGACGGCTAATAACTTCATACCCTTCTGCAGCACAGTTTCTATGCACACCAGTATGAAGAGTATAGTGAACACCCCCAAGGCACAGAAAACGGTCACTAGGAAGCCAGTATTGTCTGAGAAAGTCTGAAAATACAAACAAAGAATGATGTCACCACACCCATCACAGCATCATACACCTTAATTGTATACAGTCAACAATTCAAATGAAACATTGTTGTTCATACAACATTAACAAAAGCAGTCAAAATAAAAAAAAAGGTACATTTATCCATGTAACCTGAATAATAAAACTTTCACTTACGATTCACTCATCTTCACATAATACTCCAAAATAAAAAAAAAAAGTTAAAAAGGGTGAAAGCTGTGTGAATCTTGAATGAAAACACTGAAACTAGACCCCTAAATATATCCATGAAAAATGAATACATTGCAATTTTTTAAAAATTATTTCTCCATATCCTCCTGCACAATATACTGCATATTCGACTAAGAACGCGCTTATGCTGGTCATGTTATGCTGTATTTGCAGTGTAGAAAAAATAAAGGATAATGAAGAAAGCAATGCTTCCAAATGGAGCACTTCACACATACAAACTACAAGAAAGGGCAAAGTGTTGCATTTTTGGATATCCTGTTCTGAGAGTTCCACCCAAATTCAGGATTGTTAGCACAATGTACGTTGCTGCATTTGTGGATGCATAGCGTGCCCCCAAAGAGATCCTGTAGAGCTACTCAAGATCTTCTGAAATGCAAAAGTGTTGCCAGTCCAGCATGAATTTAAAGTATAACTAAAGGCAAAACGTTTTTAGTTTTTTAATAGAGTGCAGAGGGATTAGAAACCTGTTAGTTTGTATTGCTGTCTGTAGCCCTGTTAAGGAGATTCACCCTATTTGTCCCATTTATCATTATCATTGAAAGTGAAAGTAAAAGAAAATCGCACATTTTGGGTAGAAAAGTAATAGAGGGAAAAATCTTTCAATGGGAACACTAGTTCTGGTGACCTGGTCCCCAAGGGGTTCCCTTAATTTGCAGGGATTTCCTCGCACTTCCTCTTTGGCTATGGGTCAGGAAGTGAAGGGAAAAAAAAAAAAAAAATCCATCCAAAATGAAAAAATGGCTTTGCATATAGTTCTACTTAAAGCTTTGGAAGCTGGAGGTTTGTGTTCAGTTAGGAATAAGAATACAAATAATTCTGAAGAGTTGTCACCAGAACAGCAAAAGAGAAAGTCATCTAATGGAACCACATGTTACAGTGACAACTGTCTAAAGCTGGCCATAGATGAGTAGAATTGCGAACACAAATTCTTGGGAAAAGAAGGTTCTAAGAAAGTTCATTTACGGTACCCAATCATTAGTGTAGTCAAATTGATGTTCTTTTTTTTCCCCCGGAGGCAGGCCAGTGATCGTGTATGATGTGTCATTCATTTGGCTCACACAGCTAGACAGCGTTCCAATGAGCTGATGTTTCTTTCCTTAGACATAACTAAGGCATTTGATATTCTCTCTTGGCCCTACATGAACTTGGTCCTTCAGTCTCTTGGGTTCTTTATGCAATGGATAATTGCTCTTTATAGTGTCCCTCAGGCTAAAGTGAAATATTATTGGTTTGAATCTCCTTTGCTTCCTGTACGGAGAGGTACCAGACAGGTTCGCCCCCCTCGTCAAGTTAGTCCTTCCACTCTACTGCTAATATTCTGCCTCTTTCTTTTTTCCTCCCTTTTTCCTAGTTCTCTCCTCCTTTCCCCTATCCTTTAGGAAATTATATCCCTCTGGTTTCCAGTGTGCACAATTACTGGGCTTGCAGTACTCCACTGTCAGGGCTCCCAGGTGTTACCAGAGGTGTGTGACTGACGCAGGGAAACGCAGACTTCAGATATGTGATAAACAATATAATTTATTAACACTAACAATACAAACATAAACGCAGTGCAATACTAAAACATAATACAGTGCAACCAAACCAAACCAAACCACCCCCACAGATAACAGTACATACAAGCAAGCGTCGTCAGGCAGGCCGGGTCAATATCAATTGGGCAGGTAGGTACAGGGGGAGCAAGCGGAGATTGGTCGGGGTCACAGGCCAGGTTCAGCAGGTAGCTAGCAGCGTAGTACAGAGGGTCAGGCAGAGGGATGGTCAGGGTCACAAGCCAGGGATCAGAACAGGTAGCAGGCAGCGTAGTACAGAGGGTCAGGCAGAGGGATGGTCAGACAAGCCAGGGATCAGAGCAGGGTCAGCAGAGAATCAGACAGGAACAGAGAGCAGGAACAGGATACAGGGCCCAAGAGAAACACAACACCAAGGCAGAGTCTGCAAGTCTGGCCATCCCTTAAATACCCCAGCATAATCAGTTCCAGGTGTTAGCTGGCTGCAAAGTTGAGTCTCTGATTGCTGGGAGCACCCGCTGGCCAGCCCTGGTACTGCAGATCAAAAGGCAGGTGAGTCCCACCATTGCTGGCTAGTCCATTCCTGACATCCACAGCCAGCTTCCGGGTAGACTTTACCTTTGGTTTTCAGGTCTGAGCCCTTGTCATTCCCCATAAGTATCACCTTACTGATTATCATCTTTTTGATCTACATTAGCTATGAACCTGAATGTTAATATACACTATATTGCCAAAAGTATTGGGACACCCCTCCAAATCATTGGATTCAGGTGTTCCAATCACCTCCATGGACACAGGTGTATAAAATCAAGCACCTAGACATGCAGACTGCTTCTACAAACATTTGTGAAAGAATGCATCACTCTCAGGAGCTCAGTGAATTCAAGCGTGGTGCCATGATAGGTTGCCACCTGTGCAATAAATCCATCCGTGAAATTCCCTTGCTACTAAATATTCCACGTTTCAACTGTTAGTGGTATTATAACAAAGTGGAAGCAACTGGGAACACCAGCAACTCAGCCACTAAGTTGTAGGTCATGTAAGAAAACAGAACAGGGTGATTGCATGCTGAAGTACACAGTGCACAGTACACAGTGCGCTGAAGTCGCCAACTGTTTGCAAAGTCAATAGCTAAAGACCTCCAAAATTCATGCGGCCTTCAGATTAGCACAGCAACAGTGCGTAGAGAGCTTCATGGAATGGATTTCCATGGTTGAGCAGCTACATCCAAGCCTTACATCACCCAGCGCAATGCAAAGCGTCAGATGCAGTGCTGTAAGGCACACTGCCACTGGACTATAGAGCAGTGGGAGACATGTTCTCTGGAGTGACAAATCACGCTTCTCTGTCTGGCACTCCAATGAAGGTGTCTGGGTTTGGCAGCTGCCAGAAGAATGGTACTTGCCTGACTGCATTGTGCCAAGTCTAAAGTTTGGTGGAGGGGGGGATTATGGTGTGGGGTTGTTTTTCAGGGGTTAAGCTTGGCCCCTTAGTTCCAGTGAAGGGAACTCTTAAGGTGTCAGCATACCAAGACATTTTGGATAATTTCATGCTCCCAACTTTGTGGGAACAGTTTGGGGATGGTCCCTTCCTTTTCCAACATGACTGCGCACCAGTGCACAAAGCAAGGTCCATAAAGACATGGATGAGTGAGTTTGGGGTGGAGAAACGTGACTGGCCTGCACAGAGTCCTGACCTCAACCCGACAGAACACCTTTGGGATGAATTAGAGCAGAGACTGCGAGCCAGACCTTCTCGTCTGTCATCAATGCCTGACCTCACAAATGCGCTTCTGGAAGAATGGTCAAACATTCCCATAGACACACTCCTAAACCTTGTGGACAACCTTCACAGAAGAGTTGAAGATGTTATAGCTGCAAAGGGTAGGCCAACACAATATTGAACTCTACAGACGAAGACTGGAATGCCATTAAAGTTCATGTGCGTGTAAAGGCAGCCATCCCAATACTTTTGGCAAAATAGTTATGTTATGCTAGTAACCTTATTTAATATATGTTACACTGGAACCCTTACCTGATACTGTTGCACCTTATGTTTTTTTTATTGGATTTTCTATGTTCATCTTCAATAAACACATAATTTAACCTAAATTATAAGTCCTCATTCACACTGGACATTTTTACAGCTGCGGTTTTTGGCATTTTTTTTCTACAGCCAGTAAACTCCCCAGCATGTTATCCTATGTGTCAATGCATACAGACTGTAATCAGTGGTTTTTGGCAGGGGCGTTTTTTTGGCTAGAAAAAACCCCCCAGAACTAGTGGGTTTCTAGAGAGGTATTTTAGCTGTAAAAAACGCTCTAACACTGAAAAGTGTGGTAAAACACGGCAAACTGGCATTTTTGGACTTTTTTTCAGCAAAAAAAAGTGGCAAATGCGAAAAAAACACGACTAAACGCTAATGCAGAAACCTCATGTTTTTAACGTGACTTTACACAGCTAACATTACCAGCGTTATTAAAACGCCCAGTGTGCATGGGGCCTAGTGTACCCAGTATGTTGTTCCCAAATTTTTATTTGTTACAATATAAAAGAGTAAAATTGAAGAAGTGGAACTAAACTCTGCAATATACTCACCTCAACATTCCGGCTGTACAGGGCTAGATCCCTCACTGACCCCGGTCGTCATCTCCCTGGGTGCCTGGTTTTCGGCCTTTTATTTTATTTTTTTTTCGGGGCGGTAACATCATCCAGCGCATGCACATGGGAGTCAGTCATTACAGCAGTCAGAGTGTGCTGGGAATACACACTGAGCTGCAAATATCCAAGTACATTCAATAGAAAACTGGAAGCAGGCATGTGTTTGTTACTGCAGAGGAGACCTTGCATGTCTCTTCTGCAATAAAGAGCTGCCTGCTCAGTTTTCTTCAGGTTAGGTTTAGTTCTACTTTTAAGTGGTTTTAAAGCATCATTTTTTATTAAAATAACAAAAGATGATATACTTACCTGGTCTGTGAAATGGTATTGCATAAAGCAGTTGCTTAGCTCATCTTCTGGACTTTGACTGAATTCTGCACTGTATTCTGCCGGCAGGAAGGCACCAAAACTGGCAGAACATAATAGCGCTGCAGGAGCAATTCGATGTGGGTATGGGAATATGCAAATTTTTTTTTTTTCAACCTACTGGTTGAGGAGAAAAAAAAAAAAAAAAAAAGTATAATGCATGGCCTGCCGAAGCCTTTTTTTTTTTTTTTTTTAAATGAGGGGTTCTCAGATCAG